CTCAAGAGTTTGAGCTCTGAGCAACTGCAGTTCGATGCCTGGCCTGAGCTGAGCTGCTGCTGAGCTGCCAACAGGTGGCAGGAGGGCTCAACTAAAAAAAAAATAGTGACCTTGAACAAGCTTCCTTTGCCTATATACTTTATTTTAAATTCAAACCTTCTACCCAAATATCAACACTCAGAAGCTAGTTTTTGACTTTGAAGCATACAGTGATTTTTTTAGAAGTTTTTGGGGTAGAGTTTTCAAGGGGGTAAAAAATAAAATAGGTAAGCTTCTCCCCAGAAGACCTGAGAAGACATTATTAGACTACTTATATACAGGGAAGAAAGAATACCAAACTTTTCCCTGTTAGCTCATAAAGTCACTATGTCTACCTGGGGGCACAGTAAATAACCCACATTTATTTCTAGTTGGACATAGAACATACGAGGTTGGGCAGCTAGAAGAGGGGGAAATTATGCCTAGCTTTAAGCAGAACTTTGCATTTTGTGTCTGATGATACTGTCAGGTGGCAGTATCTGGGGTTTAGAATTCCTGCAGTATTATGCCTAGAAACCCTGCAGTGGTTTGCCACTTGCCAAGTCCCATTTTCGTGTTGACAATTAAAAAAAAATTTTTATTTTCTCCTGATTATAAAAAAATTCAAACATTACAGCAGTACATAATAATATAGTAAGAAAAAGTCTCCCACAACTCCACATTCCAGAGATAATCACTGTTAACATTTTGGTGTGTATGTCTCCAGTTTTTTCTATGCACATTCTATGTAAGTTTATCTTATATAAATGGGATTATATTATATACAAAGCTTTGCAACTTGTTTTTTAAATTTGATAATACATTTTGGTTATCTTTCTGTGTCAGCAAATGGAACACTACTTAAATATATTTTTTAAAATAGTTTGAAATTTATTTTTTTATTAACATCAGGTATACAAAACAACATAATAATTGGACATTTACACACCTCTCAAAGTGATAACCCCAAGTCTACTACTCATCTAACACCATACATAGTTATTAAAATACCATTAACTATATTCCCTATACTGTACTTTACATTCTGTAACTATCTATATATTTTTTCAATTTTAGTTGACATTCAATATTATTTTATATTCGTTTCAGTTGTACAGCGTAGTGGTTAGGCATTTATATAATTTATGAAGTATTCCCCCCCCCAGACAAGTCTAATACCTATCTGCCACTATGCAGTTTTTACAATAATATTGACTATATTTCCTATACCATATTTCACAACCCCATGACTTTTTGGGAGCTCAATGGCAGCTCAGCTCAGGCACGGAATCAAACCAGCGACTCTGTTGCTCAAAGCTCGCACCCTTGAGCAAGCTCTTAACCAACTGAGCCACTCGGCCAGCCCTCCCCATGACTTTTGTAACTCCCAATTTGTACTTACTAATCCCTTCACCTTTCTCACCATCCCTCCAACTCACCTCCCTTCTAGCAACCATCTGTTTGTTCTCTGTGTCTGAGTTTGTTTCTGTTTTGTTTGTTCGCTTATTCTGTTCTTTACATTCCACATATAAGTGAGATCATATGGTATTTGTCTTCCTCAGTCTGCTTACTTCCCTTAGCATAATGCCTTCTAGGTCTATTCATATTGTTGGAATTGGTAAGATTTCATTTTTTCTTCTGGCAGAGGTAATACTCCATTGTATATATGTCCCACAATTTCTTTATCCAATTGTCTATTGATGTGCATTTCAGTTGTTTCCATATCTTGGCTGTTGTGAATAGTGCTACAGTAAACATAGGGGTGCGTATATCTTTTCAAATTAGTGTTTTGGGTTTCTTTGGATAAATTCCAGGAGTGGAATTGCTGGGTCACAAGGTATTTCTATTTTTAATATTTTGAGAAACCCCCATACTGTTTTCCACAGTGGCTACACCAATTTGCAATCCCAACACAGTATACAAGGGTTCCCTTTTCTCCACATCTTCACTAACATTTGTTGTTTGTTGATTTATCGATGCTATCCATTCTGATAGGTGTGAGATGAATCTCATTGTGGTTTTCATTTGCATTTCTGTGTTGGTTAGTGATATTGAGCATCTTTTCATATGTCTATTGACCACATGTATGTCTTCTTTGGAGAAATGTCTATTAGGTCTTCTGCCCATTTTTTAATTGGATTGTTTGTTTTTTTGGTGTTGAATTGTGTGAGTTTATTATAAATTTAGATATTAACCCATAATCAGATGTATCATTGGCAAATATCTTCTTCCATTCCGTAGGATGTCTTCTTGTTTTGTTGATGGTTTCCTTTGCTGTGCAAAAAGTTTTAGTTTGATGTGGCCCCATTTGTTTATTTTTTCTTTTGTTTCCTTTTCCAAGGAGATATATCAGTAAAAATATTACTAAGGGTAATGTCTGAGAGTTTACTGCCTATATTTTCTTCTAGGAGTTTTATGGCTTTGAGTCTTATATTTAAGTTTTTAATCCATTGTGAGTTTTATTCTTGTATATAGCATAAGAAGATGGTCCAGTTTCATCTCTTTGCATGTATCTGTCTAGTTTTCCCAGCATCATTGATTAAATAAACTGTCTTTACCCCAGTGTATAGTCTTCCTTCCTTTGTCATAGATGAAATGACCATATAGGCATGGGTTTATTTCTGGGCTCTATTCTGTCCCATTAATCTATGTGTCTGTTTTTATGCCAATACATGCTATTTGGACTGCTGTGGCCTTGTAGTATAATTCATATCAGGTAGCGTGATACCTCCAGCTTTGTTCTTCTTTCTCAGGATTGTTGTGGCTGTTCAGGGTCTTTTATGGTTCCATATAGATTTTAAGATTATTTACTCTAGTTCTGTGAAAAAAATGCCACTGATACTTTGATAGGGACTGCATTGACTCTATAGATTGTTTTGGGTAGTATGGACATTTTAACTATATTAATTCTATCCATGAGCATGGTATATGTTTCCATTTATTTGTATCTTCTTTAATTTCTCTCTTCAATGTCTTATGATTTTCTGAGTACAGGTCTTTTACTTCCTTGGTTAAATTTTATTTTTTTGATGCAATTGTGAATGGAATTATTTTCTTAATTTCTCTTTCTGATAGTTCTTTATTGGTGTATAAAAATGAAACCGATTTCTGAATATTTTATATCCTGCTATTTTACTGAATTCATTTATCAGTTCTAATAATGTTTTGGTGGAATCTTTGGGGTTCTCTCTATATAGTATCATGTCATCTGCAAATAATGACAGTTTTACTTCTTCCTTTCTCATTTGGATGTTTTTATTTATTTTTTTTATTTATTTATTTTTTTTTAAAGATTTTTTATTATTTTTTATTGAGGAATTGGGGGATGGGAACAGTGCTGGGGGAATTGGGGGAAGGGGAACAGACAAGTTGCTGTCCTTTTGTTCTTCAGTCTTGTTGTGGAGGACGTTGCTTCACTGGCCCAAGTTGGCACCANGGCTTTGTCTCATGACTGCTGATCTTGACCAAAGTAATTGCTCCCTCTTGAGCATTCATTATTCACTTACTATATCAGTATTTCCCAGTCACTTGCATCCTATAACATTAATAGCTCTTTTGAAAAAAGGGATTTTTTTGGACAAAGAAGTTCAGAGAACACTGTATCCTAAAATCTCCTCAGAGATTTATAATGTACCTGCTCTGACAATTTTTGTGGTAAAGAAACCTTCCTTTAACCAAGCATTTTTAAAGTAATCATGAAAACTTTCAACTGACTCACTCCCTTTTCCCACTCCAGAAAACTTAGTCTTGTTACACACTAGGCTCTGTGGTTTATACCGTTCGTTTGAGTTCAGTGTTTTTTACATTTTTTTATACTTTATGTAAGGTCTTATGTATTTATGCCTTCAATCTTCAGTTAGAAATTAGTGTTTTTTTAGGGCAGTGTCCAATGTACATATTTTATTACATCTATGGCCTTGAATTTAGTAGATATAAGGACTTCACTTGAATTGTGACTTAAAGAGTAGATAGGATCTGGTTCTTGAATTACTTCTAAATTCTTTTTATCTTTCAAAGCAAATTATAGTTTGTATTACTGCTAAATAAATACATCTTCTTAAGCGTTGTGTGTTATATACAGAGAAGATAAATGCTGGCCGTAGAAGAATAAAATGGTTTTCACTTCTCTTATTCAAATCAAATCAGAATATTAGAGGGCTTACAAATTACAGTGCATACTATCAGAGTGGTGTGTCAATGGAAGGTGGATTTAATTTTTAGAAAAAGCCAGAAGTCATTGAAACCCATTCTGTTATTTAAGGTCAAACAAATGAACAGTTTTTAATGTTGAGAAGAAGTTCAGTGCCTTTATAGGATTGAGACTGGTTTTCTTGAATGGCTTATAAATAGATTTTGAAAGCAATTTCAAAAGAGGAAGTCTAATAATATTTTGAGTATTGCAAACATTGTGAGAACAGGCATAACCTATTAAGATAATGTCTTTGAAAAATAATAGTTGTTTAGAAATATAAGTTTTGTGGTTTCTGTTTAAAACAACCATAACCCAGAACCATTTATTTATAGCCAGGGCTCATAATATTTACATAAAGCTATGTCATTTCTCCTCTTTTTCTCTGACCTCCTGTCTTTGGCCTTTTTATTTCACATGTATATACTCATCCAGAAGTAGGGAATAAAAAGAAGGTGAAACTATACCAATTTTATTCCTGGTTAATAATTTTTTTTAAAAATCAGTAGATTTTTTACAAGGTTTGTGACAACTACTAACTGCAATGGAGTTTTGAGATAATCTGCTAATTTAACTATCCATGCCATCTCTGCTGCTTCTTTTAACACAGTTAATTTAAACTTAGCTGAGCAGATACTTTACAGAGCCATCTGTAATTATGGTCCATCCAATTTTACCCTTGGTCCATTATTAAATATTTAACCATGAGTTCTGAGTTGTTAGTGATTTGGCATAGGAGAGTAGTAAAGATAATTTTTATTTATGGAAGGGGAAGAAAGTTGATAAAACTTTTTAGTGGTAACTTAGAAACATGATAAACTGAAAAACTATAAAGTCTTTATTTTAAACACTATTTTGTATATGCTGTACTGATGCAGTTTTTTTTTTGGGATACACAGGAACTAAGTGCAGACAGAGACTCGCCTGAAATTAGCCTTCTCTCAGGTTCTGCCATTAAAGTATCTGATATGGTTGCTCTAAAGGAGAAATTGTTAATAGAGCCAGAGAAGATCTTAGCAGCACCAAGTACATTTTCTGAGTCTGGAAAAGAAGTCACATTGACCATGACTTCCGAAGAAACCAAGGATGAAGAAAGCTCTCTTGAAACTTTTGTGTCTGCCTTAGAACAGTTACTGACACCACCAGAAATCATCCAAGAAGAAGGAGTGTTTGAAATAATGAGTGATTTTGAACCTGGAGAGTTTATGAACCCATTGAGCAACTCTCCAAATTCCATGTCAATACCTTTGACGTGCCACAGAGACCTACTAGAAAACACAAAAGATGATGGATTGCCAGCTGAGTTGTTAGCAGCCCTAAACACATTGTCAGAAGAAGCCAAGGTGGGACCCCTCTGTCACAGAAGAGAGAGAGGCAGCAGTCCCAGTGCTGGAAATGAATGCTTGGGAATAAAGTATAACATGTCTCAGACTGATACAGACTTTACACACATAGCTGAGGTGAATCTTGATTCTCTTTATTCTACTCCACCGTTTGAACAAGATGCCAAGTTAGCTGAGCTGCAGGACAAGCATCTTCCAGTGCAGCAAGTAAGCATGAGTCTCTGATTTTGGCTTTTTTTTTTTTTTT